ATTTCATTTGAACCACATTTATGCAGTCTAATGTAATTTTAGTTATCATTCAATCCCCTTTGTCCCGATATTTTAATTTTGTCTTTGAATGGGAATTAATTGTTGGCATTTACTAAGTAGGTAGTTTTTAATTAAATATTATTTTCTTTTAGAAACATTTTCTATATCTTAAATTGATTGACATTCACAACAATGAACAGTCACAACTATAATTTAGTTAATAAATTGTGGTATCATCTATAAGAGAAATTATTTCCTATGAATAAATATTTTATATACGAATATGATATTTCGTAATAGTTTCCTCGTTTTTCCAGCTCTATTAAAAATTTTCAATGGGATTACGAAAAATCTTCAACGGCACACGGCCTGTAGCATTGTACCAAATTCCGAACTTCAACCCTTTCCGATATGTGTGCTACATAAAGACGTGACGTTAATAATGACATCGACGTAGTGTTGAATAGTAAAGTTGTTGAAAAAACAGCTATGACGATGTAGTACACATATAAAAGATCTAATCTGTATGAGCTTGTCAACAAACACTTTCGATTAGGATATGCTGTCACCTGAACGTTTACTACAGTTTCTTTGTGCATTTTTTTTTGTCGTCGCATAGAATCTGTATCCGTTATCACCACTTTTTTGGAACCAAAAATCTTTTTTTAAAGAAGATGTAACTACTCTACTACTAAATAATGTGGTACCACAAACCAAAACAAATCGTTGGTTATGGCAGCATGCGGCTAGTCGTTCGTACTGTCTTGATTATACAAGTAATAGTTGCTCACTCAGTATGATAACCAAGATTATAGCAGAACATTATGTAATAATCGCCAATAAATAACCAAATCATTACTTGGGTAACGCTAAGTAAAGTTGGCCGTACCTATCTGTTTTTTCGAATAACTCGGTAAACAAAAGCACAAAATTTTTGTTTATCGGCAATAAATAGCACAAAATTAGCACAAAATTAATTAGTATAAGTTTTTCGAAATTATTACATGGGTATCGCTTAGTGAAGTTGGCCGTACCCATCTGTTTTTTCGAATAACTCGGTAAATTCAAAAGCACAAAATTTTTGTTTATCAGCAATAAATAGCACAAAATTAATTAGTATAAGTTTTTCGAAATTGTTACATGGGTATGGCTTAGTGAAGTTGGCCGTACCCATCTGTTTTTTCGAATAACTCGGTAAATTCCAAAGCACAAAATTTTTGTTTATCGGCAATAAATAGCACAAAATTAGCACAAAATTAATTAGTATAAGTTTTTCGAAATTATTACATGGGTATCGCTTAGTGAAGTTGGCCGTACCCATCTGTTTTTTCGAATAACTCGGTAAATTCAAAAGCACAAAATTTTTGTTTATCAGCAATAAATAGCACAAAATTAGCACAAAAATATGGTTACAACAATTTTAAGTTTGGTGAAATGGGCATTGCCAACTTCACGGACCTCTATAGAGTCATCTTGGAATTATTGTTTACATGGGAAATCGAAATTAACTTAAACTTTCAAAGGCGACTCGACCGCCACCGATGTTTGATCGCCGTTATTATTGAATTTAGATAATTCGCTTCAAAAAACTAAAATTGATCTGTTCCAGCGTTTCGGGCAAAACTGTCGTTAAGCGGCCCAAAAGGTCCCCTGCAGAAGGTCTTAAGTTGTTCTTATACTCCGGTATTTACTTTACGAATTAGGAAACTGCAGGAAAAACCTAATTCGGGGGAGCTGACAGAATGCTCGAAACTGATCTAAGGAAATTCCCATCTCTGCCACAAATGAAAAATTCATCTCAGACCAGGTTCGAACACCCAACCTCCCGGCTTTGTAGCCCAACGCTCTACCACTTTGAAAACTAATACGGTTAGTTTTCAATTTTTTCCATAATAAAGACAGAACATTGGAAAAATAAAACCCCTTCTTATTCTTGCGATGCGAAAATTGGTACTTTTACCATAAAATGAATATAAACCGCAAATGCATAGCATATATCCTTCATTCCCCTTGTTATTCATACGCAGAACGATTCCTGTAACGTCTTTGAGTAGCTTACAATTTATTCCAACTTCCTGGTACCTTCATACTCCATAAAAAATATCTCTCTTTTATATCAAATTGCAACCTCTAACCCTAGTGGCTATCTGAATGTGATAGTAGGTATAATGATATATAAATAAAAAAGACCAGCGATTTGGATGAAATTCAATATTTATTTATTTATTTTTTTTTTTTAATTTATTTCATCCAAATCACTGGTCTTTTTTATTTAAATAAGAAATTCAAAATAGAAGAGTTCATCGACAAGAATAAGGATATATATTTATATATAATGCGTGTAACATTAATCGTAACAAGCAGTACAGGTATTGCATCAATAAATATGAAAATGGTGCTGTTGGTCTCTTTTATTACCTATGTTCAGGTGCCGTTACTATAGTATAATATAGTAGCAATAATTATTAAGATATTTAGGCCTTTTCAGAGCCTTTTGTGGCTACACGAGCACTAGAAATCTCCTGTTCGCACTGTATTCGAGAAAATGAGTTGGATGAAGAACATATTACGTGCATATGGAATATGGAGACTTTTCCAGAAGACGATAAAGATTTTTCCATTTTCTACGCTTGTTTAATGCAAAGACTTGACATATTGACTAAAGGATTGGGAAATTAACGTCGATAATACTCGCTTGCCAAAGTACATAATCGCAAGGTTAAAGTTAGATGAAGGGGTTGAACTGGAAGACAAGATCCTGCAAGCTATGAGCCACTGCATTGCGGAGTCGCCAAAAGTTGAACCTATGCAATAAGGCGGCGCAATTGTGCTGCTGAATACTTTCATAAACACTAGAATACGGACAGTGCAATTTATTTTGTATTGAATACTGAAGTAATTCTTATAGATCAATTATAAAGAAATCGACAAATGTAGATATCTTTGTAAGAGACCATACAAACCATGTTCCAAATTAAGTCTGCACCTACTCCCCAACTTACGAGTTATTTTTATTATTATCAGAAACAGAATTTGAATGGGGGTTTACAGTATAGTTGAATTCCGCAGTTCTAATTTAATAAGCGTGTACCTGAAACCATAAAATATTTTTTTGGACAGTAAAAGTTTATTTAAAAATAGAGGCTGATTAGCAAAAAAATAATGAACATGTGCGGTTTTAAAGGTTTATTCAAAACGATATGATTGTGGCGGGTCTGTGACGTAATAAGCCCGACCAATCAGCTCCTAGAACCATTCAGATGACATAACGACTTGGCAATATTGTAGGAGAATGGCATTTATAACTTGCGTCATCTGTCATAGGCACTTGTCACTTTCGTGCTAGATCATAGCCGTCTATAATTACAAGCCATGCTGAGAAGTTTGGCAACGTTGTCCGAAAGTCAATCGGTGGGCCGATATAATTTTAATGGCGTCTTGTTGCTCTTGAAAAATTGCATTTTTCCTCTCTCCTGTGCTTCGCCTTGGTGGTTTTAATACAGAAGAAAGATACTTAAGCAGCTTACAATTGTACATATATTTTATTTATTTACAAAAGTAGATAATAACATTTTTATTTGACGTTAAAATTCGGAACGCTGTAAATTGGTAACTGCATCATAATGACGTGTTTTCCATCGAGATCTCCGAAATTGGTGAACTTCTGTCGAAAGAGGTCGAGGTGAAGCACACGCTTAGGCACTTAATTTCGGCAAAAGGACAGTAAATCGCTGTGCATCAGCGAAGTTTTATCAACGACCAGGTGTGATTCGGAATGGCAGATTTTAAGCCAGTCGCTACTCCAGTGGGTCTATGTACGAAGCTTTTAAAGAGGGGAGCCCCGTAGACTTCAAATTCCCGTACCGTGTACTCCTGGGAATAAGTCGGAAGGTTCCTTCAGAAAATCGACTTGACATGTCCGTGCTAGAATATCTGAAATATCAACTAATAAAATAATTATTGTATTCTTTCACGATAAACACTTACCGTGCTTACGTACCACGTAGTGTGTAGGTCATATTTGAGCTTGTACAGGTACTTTGAACAAATACAAGTGCTTGTAAAGGGCCCACTAAGGAGTAGCCTGCTTTAGAGGTTATGACTTATGACAACAAATCGATATATTTCGTTTAGCAACTTACCTGAATAATAATTTCTGTTCATTCCGCACGGAGTAACACAAATTGTCGCAATCTCGCTTTGTTAAAACAGGTAAATAGGAATGTTACACCCAAAACACATAAAATACACCTGAAATCTGTCAAGTTGAATTAGGAAATCGGCCTACCATGCAGTGTTGCCATAATTCTCAGCACGGCTTGTAATTATAGACGGCTGTGGCTAGATGCAGTTAAACATCCCTCTCAAAACGTCAAATGTTACAAACGTCAGACCCTCGCGTAAGGTTGCCAGCTCACTTCTACGTGATGGGTTGTAGGTTTGTGACGTATTTAGTCTGAAGCGTTTCAAATTCGGACTAAAAACACAGCTTTTCAATAATTTATTTTGGGTTTATTTTACTCGAAAATAAAAATTGAGGACACACGGGTCTTTTTATTTTTAATGTACTTTGTGGATCAGAAATAAAAAATGAAGGCGGGATGACCCCATTACATACACGTTCAACCACTCGAAAAATAAGTTGCAGTACCAGCCTTTAAGGGGTTGTCAAAATTTGGTTTCCTACATTCTTACAGGGTAAAAGCATTGTAAATAATGTTAAGACGTTGGGATAACGTAGAGGTGACAACATGCTACTGTCGGTCGACGAAACAAACCCGATAGGTACATTTCCGCACATTTCAACCAATAGGTGTCAAAGATTGTATTGTTTGCACTAATTTTATTGTGAGATACATGTTCAAGAGTCCAGAATATTATATTTTCGATTTTTAATTATAAACATCAATCAGAATAAAGTTCACTTTTTGATTGTATTCAAGCTATTGATCGATAAAATCAGACAAAATACGCCCAATCAGTAATAACAAATTAAGGAGTGACGTAATAAAAGACTTTATTTATACATATCTAATAATTATAAAAATCGGGAAAACATCAATAAGGGATGCTAAGAAGAGTTACTTTCAGATTCTTGTAAACATTTTTGAACCATGACAACAGTATCAACAAATGTATCCCCTCTCAGGTTGAGCTGTTCACAATACGCTACCTTATCCAAAAAAATGTATTTCATAATCAAAATTATGATAGATTGTCCCGGTTTTTCATCTTCTATTGGCGCATTTCTTATCAAGTCTTTTAAAGCTTCAAAATTAATTCGTTCCTCGTCGACGTCGATCAACATGTGCTTTTTCCAGTTACAAAATATAACTTCTTTATCGAGCGTTAAACTTTTCGAAATAATAACTTCGTTACTAGCTGGCGGGAGTGTATCACACATAATGGGTTCTTCGGAATTGCATGTCTAAAATGTAAGGAGTTAGGTAAAATTTGGCGAGTAGTTTAAGTGGTACTTACTTGAAAAACCACCACAAGAGTTGCGACCAAAAAGGTTGTTTTAAACATCTTCGTATACATTAAACTATCTATTTCTGCGTGTCATCGGCTTATATTGGATTCCATATCTTAATGAAGTGCAGCAACGAGTTTTACAGGAAGTTGTTATGGTTCATTACACTCAATTTTTGTTCTTTGACCTGAAATTCTTTGTGAAACAGAAACGATAAGAGGTTTTGCAGGTGGCTAAGGGGGATGCAAATAAAACTCTTGAGCTATTCAACCCTAATCAAATTGTAGACATAATGAAATAATGATGCACCTACTCAAGCAATCTATGTGAATTTAGAGAGGTGCATTTGCTGTACTTGGGATCAGCAACCGTTTCATATTTATTAGCCTTCCCTAGCTAACAACGTTTTGATAAAGTTCACACTAATTTCAACATGGTATCTGACCTGTGATCGATAATTAGAAATACACAAAAAGGGAGATTAGAACGATTATGCCCGAAAACGAGAGAAAACATTAGTTACCTACTCTTTGTCGACAGTTGTACATGTTTGTAATCAGTTCGCATCGAAACGCGTTTTTGGCAGTTCAGAAAAATAGGGACGAAGAAAAATGTAGTACAATATTGGTTTAACCAGTTTTTGAAAATTGGGTAAGGGGTGTAAAAATTCGAGGTCATAAACATTATATGACAAGCTGGAGAAATCGTTTGGAAATCGTTACTAGCGGATTTTCGTGGTCGCCAAGTCCAGAGATATACCCTCAAAACTGCCCAGCAATACTGGAGTTGGAGCGCTACAGGATGCCGGGGGTGCAGTAGGGTGAAAAATTAACCGTTCCGAATTGCTCGGAAATCGTTACTGGGGTTTTTTTGTGTGTATTATTACAGAACAATAATTTTTCACTCCACTGCACTCCCGTCGCAACTTTGAACATCGCCAGGGAATGCAATCCCGCAGCAAAATCTCAATCCCGGTATTTGCGGGATCGTTAGATGTTAATCCCGCGGGATCCCGGTATTTGCGGGACCCCGCAAAATTTTAAATAAATTGCCAAATAAGTAATTTTGTGCGGTTAACTTCTGTATTTAAATAAATTGCTAATTATCACAATGTTCAACAGAAAAGTATCTTCAGCCTAACTTAAAACTCAAAAAAACCTTACCTGTAAAGCACAAAAAGTTTCACAAAAATCATAATAAATTTCTAACGAAAAAAAGTTTAACGATTATTTTGAAAATAACTTCTTCGTTATGCGTTTCATTAATAAAGTAAACAGAATCGTCCCGACGTCCCGTTGGTCGACAAATTCCTCAATCCCGCAAATCCCACGGGATCCCGCTCCATTTATGTGCGGTATCCCGATATCCCGGTATTGCATTCCCTAAGCATCGCCGAGCAATTTAAAGGGCGGATATGAACGCAACGAGCGCGAAAACCCCCAAATAATAATTTCCGGGCAATTTCCCGGCACTATTAATTTTTTACTCCAGTGACCGGTCGCCGCCAAATTTGAACCAAGGATTCTTCTACTAAAGGTGGTCGCTCGCGATATTTGGCTCCAAACGACTTCTTTTTGCGAAACTATAGAATCTTTAAAAGACAAAATTGTGGAAGTGTGTTTTAATATCCCCTGAGATACAATAGTCAAAGACACTATTATGATCGATTAGGTTACTACCTAGCAGTTAATTCTTTGGTTTCACCACTCATATTTATTAAAACGGCCCTGAGTTACGTGACGCTAATAAGTTCCCCACGTACGATCATGAAATTACTAACAAGGCTAGAGGGCACCTTCATCCGGTTTTTTCAACAATAAAAATTGCGGGACAATCCTAAATTCGTCAGTTCATTCCGTCGAAATGTGAGGTTATATTATATTACTCCGAATTGCATGATTACTATTAAGTTGGTTAAAGTGTGCGTAACATTAACATTCCTGAGTTCAATTTCTTGAGAGGTTATGTTATTTTTCCACGGTTTAATAAACATTACAGAATGTTGTACAACTAGACATGTGTTTCAAATTATTTATTTTTATGTTAATTTGCCTTTAATTTTGAGTGGGCGGGATTTCAGACAAGGCTGCTCTACCAACCCAACTCATTACACATTTACAAATGTCCATACCCGAACCCGGATTCGAACCAGGGAGCCTTAGCACCACAGTCCAGCTTTAACTGAACTGAGCCACACGGGCCGGCTTATACCACAATAGTACCTATTATAGTAAGTAGTTCGCTAGATGTTTTACATATTTCATGTGTAGGTACTTTATTTACAGATGGGCAGCAATTTATTCGCTTCCCCTCTCTAGGCTATAAGGCGGTGGATGCTAAGCAGCGATTGATACGACAAAGGCGTTTGAAGTTAAGCGCTGGTCTATGGAAGATGCGAAAGATGGTTCTTCCCCTTTCGAATGATTATGAGAAAGCGTTCGAAGTTAATCGGCGGTTGATACGAAAGAATTGGTGAATGGAACATGCAGGAGGTGTCCGGGTTTCCCTTCTCAGTTATCAATACGGAGAAGTCGATCTTTGCCAGATACAACATGAATCCTTCTCACGACATTCTTCCCTAAGGCATTCAAGTTTACACTGTATGCTTCCAAAAGTAGTCTAAAAGGAAGTCTCCCTTATTTGGTGTATAAGTCGAGCTATAAACCAAAAATTGTATTATATATTATTTAGTTCAATGTAGCAGATTTGCGACATGTTGTAGGCTAATTAAGCTGCGAGCATGACTGAATACCTATCTGTAAATTGCAAAATCCATCTTTAATAAACAAAAGTTGCTTCAGAGTTTAAATCATGCAACAATATTTGCACATACATATCGGACTATATTGCACAAAATGTAGTGTTTTTGCAAGTAATGAACTTGTATCTAAATGATAAATAAGGAGAACTTAATTAGTTTAACATTACATTTGAAAATCTCGAAAAATCTTAGTGCTGTTGGCCCTTGTGACTGATAAAGTAAAAAACAGGAAAACTGGTAACACAGACCGGTGGATAACTGATGACGTGCACACAAGTAACGAGCATTCGTATAGGTTGCAATTGCAATGGATCTTATTATTTAAATTCAAACTAAAAAAATTTGCTGTGGATAGCACACGTACCACCTACACACCTGCCCATGTGCATTCTGCCCAAAAGCTTTTCAGCTATTTCTTTCATGTCTAAGAATATGTGTACCAAGTTTAGTTCCAATCGGTTCACCCGTTTAGTCGGAAATGAGAGTACAGGCAGACAGACCGACATCGTCGAGATTTTGTTTCATTCCTGGTGCTTCAAAACATGTCTTTCCGTCAAAACGCGCGGGAAATAAAAAAACAACACCAATATTTCATTTATTAATTTTTTGTAAATGGGCGACACCCCTTATAAGGATAGTTAGTATGTCTTTGTAACTGTTACCCCTAATGGTGTTTTGCATGCACAAGAGTAACTATCTTTGTGTATGTAAATCTACCCACAAGGATTTACAATAATAATATTTAAACACACCTCTATTTGGGGTACAACAGGGTAGCCGCTTTTTCCGAGCCAACTTCACACCACTTTTGGAAGCACCAACGAAATGTTTTGTGCCAATCGTAAGTGCTTCATTGTGCATGAAAAAGTGCACGTCCGCCCCATTTTGAGGTACAGGTACTCCTTTTTGAAAGAGTATAGTACTTGTCAGTTAAGAAACCCACCATCCTTACGCAAATTGTAGTGGTAGCTTTTTGAAAGAACGACGGAAAATCCCCCTTTCATGCAATATGCTCTTGCAAAGTTCGGTTTCCATCGTGGTATGGCAATTTGTCACCTGTTACCCGAAAACGTTCGAAACGATCAGGGAATTAACGATAATTGACGACTAGCCACAGAATCCTGGGAACGTTCCTAACCAAATTCTGGAAAGGGTCACGGCGGAGCAACGAAAATACAACGAGAGGTACGACAGGAAACATTACGAGCATGAAGGGTTTCGAGTAGGTGATATCGTGTATATGAGGGACCCACCAAAGCACACAGGAGAACCTGTAAAAACCCAACGTAAGTACAAGGAGTCATACGTAGTCGTAGTAGCCGAAGTCTTGGGAAACGACAGCAACCGAGTACGAAATATTGATGCAGAGGGCGTGCGAAACTTTTCAACGACAGCACATGTATCCCAGGTGAAGGTTTACCGAAACTCAGTAACCGACGACGATGATGGCACCGATTTTAAGGACGCGGGTGCCACGGAACGTTAGGGGGAGGCCACGCCCTTTGCAAGATTATTATGTCCCCTGTGACAGTACACAATCTTCCAAGAAGACGAAAGGTCAGAAGTGATCGATAGTTAAAAACTTTTAAAATTCACATTGAAATGGCGTTCGCGCATTTAACTATTCTATGGTTTTTGGTACATTTTGTGATGAGTTATAAGTGGGGGAAAAATATGGTTATCACGAGAGAGAATTTGTTCGTTTGCTTAGTTTTTCTGAATAAGAAAAATATATAAATGAACTGGTTGTTTATTTGTGGAAAATAACTAACATCGTGTACATATTTGAGTGTATATTATTGAACGTGAAAAATAGAACGATGCAACCTTCATTCTGTCAAGAATAAAGTATTTATTTGTTTAAGATTAAAAATCACTGTTTTGTCTTACAATTTCATGTTATTTTACCCTGGTTTGACTCCAATATGGCGGACGATTCAGCTAGTCTTTATACCGTAGCTGTAATCATGAGTAAAACTATTTTCCGATTAGGGAAGTAGCGGAAATAGTACATTGAAATACAAGTGCAGAAACGGTATTATTGAAAAACGAGTATAAATGTAGGAACACGAGCGCCAGCGAGTGTTCCTATTATACGAGTTTTTCAATGACCGTTTCGGCATGCGTGTTTCATACTATTTTTTCTACGAAAGTGAAAAATTCTTCTCTAGAAATTAGAAATTTCAACTAGCCAAATAACGACAAAAAATCGTATAGTCTGATCGTAGTTGGATGTTTCAATTGTAAATGATCCAGTAAGCCGGTTGCCATGACAAACATAATTGTTTGAAAAATCGTAAATTTAAGTCAAACAATTTGTGGCGTAGTGAAGAAGTGTTAAGATAGATTTTGACGAAACTGAAGATGAAGAAGGTATGTGCACCCCGCCGGACGTTGCGGAAATGGCTAATGCGGTTTCGCATGAATTGCTACCCCAAAAGTCTAAGCAGCGTTTCGGAAAGGAGCGTTTTCATAAGAGAACAAATCGCTAAGTTTTTGAGAGAAGCGCCTGATGAAACATTTGTAATGATGAAGTTTTGTGAATTTCTTATTGTATTTTTAAATCATAAATAAGCATAATTTAATTACAGGTTGCTCTCGTCCTTGGAGTGGCTGGAGCTTGCCGTCGGAGCGAACGTTGTAAAATGACTGTAACGGATTTCACAGAACAAGATGCAATTTTATTGATACCTAACGATTCCTGACTCCAAGAATCATGCCCCAAGAACGTTTTCTGTAGCAGAAGGCAAAGAAAATTCTACCATTGTCTGTCTTATATAACGAAACTGTGAATAAAGCAATACAATTACAAAGAGTTACTTCGCATATGTTTATTAGCGTGTAGAAAATGCGTGCAGAAAATATTTTTTTCTACAACTGTCAAAAAAACCTGTCATTTTCTGACGGATTTCGAAACGCGAAGTACTAGATTTTTAATCGGTTAATTAATAAGTAAGGTTGCTCTTGACAACGTGCGCGAAATCGTCAACAGTGAAAAAAAGTATTTCGCGCACGTGACAAAGTTGAACTTAAACAGCAAATTTAATTAATAATCGGTTCAGTTGTAGAAAAAATATTGTATATAACGCTAGCGCGAAGTTATTTCGCGCATTTGACACTTTTCGGCCGAAAACAGTTGTACAAAGACAGTGATTATAGTCGTTTTTTTTTGGTAACTCATCTCTTAAGTTGGCAGTTTCTAGTTAGTACAAGTAGGTACTTCGTTGGGTACTTCCATGTTTGAACTTCAAAATGTCAGTCTTACTACGCTGCCAACCTAAAACTTAATGGCATAAAAAGTGTTCCCAACATAAAACATGTTAGTTCTAATGTTCCCTATAGTTTCTGATAATGATTTTTTTAATTAAATTAAATCACCGAAATACATAGAAAAAATAGTATGAAAAACGCGTTGTTACAATGCTTTATTGTAATACTCCTATCTTGCGGACACTCGTGGCTACGCTTCGCGTCGCCACTCGTGCCACAAGATAGTCGTATTACAATAGGTCGCATTGTAACACTCGTCTTTCAATATACTATTGCCGCACTAGTGTTTCAAAGACCTGTTTTCACAATCAATTTACCTACAAAAACAATCGTGTTTCTACACTTTCGTAGAAAAAAATATATAGGAAACCTGTCCCAGGAAGCTCAGTTACCTATACCACAGACAACATATACTAGTTGTCTGTGCCTATACCTAACATAATTTTAATTTTTTGCATTTAAAGTTCACCTTTTATATCTGAATTTGTTGCAAAAGTAAAAAAAAAACACCAATAAACCACAAAAATATATATTATCGTTTATTGGTGTTTTTGTTTTAGTTTTGCAAGTTCATCAGTCAGAACTAGTTCCAGTGCTTCCAATCTGAATTTATGGTTAGGAAGGATCAATACGGCTTTGCCATTCATGTGTGTATAGACTTTAATCACAAACTAGTGCTTATCTTAGGGATACACCATTTACAAATAGTTGCTAAATCTTCGAGTAAAGAGACTAACGCACAATACAATTACAAATACAAGAAAGTGCATAAGTATTTAAGATAGGACTTATACTTTAGTGTGCATGGCTTTTATAATATTTAACACCACAATTCCGCCGTCTTATTAGATTAAGTACCCTAGGTTCCACCTTGGGTGACTCGGCGATGCAGTGCTTCACAGCGTCGCGGATGTGGTCTTCTTCGCCGGCAGCGTCAGCTAATTTTAGTTTTTCTTGTACGTATGCTATAAAGATAGGGTGTTCAAAATGGATTTCGCCATCTACAGTGTACAGGCCAAGCATATCTATGAAACAATCATAGAAAGTTGAAAAATCTTTATCATCTTCCGGGTACGTTTCCGAATTAAATATTTTTGAAATATGATCTTTATCCAGTTTGTGATCATGGATGCAATGGCCAGTATGTTTTTCAATTTCATCCTTGGGAAAGAATGGTGGCGAAGTTGCCTAATGGTTATAAATAGTCATCTTGCCCTTAATGATACTAAACTTACCTGCACACAAGCAACAAAAAGAATGAGAAGCGCGACTTTCATGTTGTTTATTGATACAAAAGGCACTGCACTGTGAGTCCTGGAAAATTTTGTCTGTTTTATACACCCATGTTATCACATTCAGATAGCAACGTGGGTTAGAGGTTACAATTGATAACCAGGTACCTTTATAAACAAAAGTACCTCCGTTCATGGTGAAGGTTTTTTTTTTGTTGATACTAATATTCCTAATTACTTTTTATGCACACTTCTTACCTAGGTACCTTGTCAACCAAAACGTATACCAGAAAGGCATTCCCGAAAGTAAAAGTTGGAAATGTTTTTGTTGCGATAACAATGAAAAATACTGATTATAATGTATGTTTTGAAATGGTAATAATAAGATAAACACTTATAGAACAGACCAAAGAAAAACATTTGTATCATTAACGTTGCCAATGTGTCTGGAATAAAATTTATTATCTAAGGACATAAATAATATCAACATATTGTTTAAACCTAGTGCGGATATTTCAAGAAATCAACGTTGCTAACATTTGTCCCAGACAGAATTAACCAATTGAGATCTACCCACGAGAGTTGGTGTTGCTCAATAACAACGATTCATTCGGCGGTCCAGCCATTCAAAAACTTCCGAAGAAATAAACTACACTTTCTGAAAACATCCATTCTGTTTGATGACGCACGTCGCTCCTTTGACAATGTCCCCCTCCCTATCCCCCTGTATACTCTTAGAAAGCGCGCTTTATGTGCCAATCACAAACTCTGGTGATATACGAATGTCCATGAACTTGGCAGGCCTACTACAGCAGACCATGGTTCTGCTTGCTCATATCGTTAGTGTTCCGTTAGTGCACGTTAGTGCCGCTGAAGAAATCGTTAGTGCACAAAAGGAAACTTACTATTTTTAAAAAAATATTTGTGGGCCTGCTATCTTCATGCCACCAGACCCATTTAAGAAAATCGATGCAATCTTTACACTAGTTAAACTAGCAGCGTTAGTGCTCGTTAGTGCCGCCAATATAAACGTTAGTGGTCAAAGTGTAACAGCTCAAAACGTTGTAAAAAGGGGTCTGCTAACTTCATGCAGTAGACCCACATTTGTCAAATTGGCCCTGTCCTAATGCGAATTTGAAGCAGCTCGTTAGTGCTCGTTAGTGCTTCACATGCGAACGTTAGTGTTGCAAGGGATCCACACCAAAAAGGTACCAAACCACCTCAAAATTAAACTTGACTTATTGGGACCTGCCAACTTCACGCCAGTAGTTGGCAGGTCCTAACAAGCCACGTTTAATTTTGAGGTGGTTTGGAACCTTTTTGATGCGGATCCCTTGCAGCACTAACGTTCGGATGTGAAGGACTAACGAGCCGCTTCAAATTCGCATTAAGACAGGGCCAATTTGACAAATGTGCGGCTGCTGCGTGAAATTAGCAGACCCCTTTTTACAACGTTTTGAGCTGGTACACTTAGAGCACTAACGTTTATATTGGCGGCACTAACGAGCACTAATATGTACCGGTCGATTAAAGTAGAAAATAAACGGATTTCGTTCGTTGGTCTACTGGCGTAAAGTTGGCAGGTCCCAATAAGTCAAGCTTAATTTTGAGGTGGTTTGGTACCTTTTTGACGCGGATCTCTTGCAGCACTAACGTTCGCATGTGAAGCACTAACGAGCAGTAACGAGCCGCTTCAAATTCGCATTAGGACAGGGCCAATTTGACAAATGTGTGTCTGCTGCATGAAATTAGCAGACCCCTTTTTACAACGTTTTGAGCTGTTACACTTTGAGCACTAACGTTTATATTGGCGGCACTAACGAGCACTAACGCTGCTAGTTTAACTAGTGTAAAGATTGAATCGATTTTCTCAAATGGGTCTGCTGGCATGAAGTTAGCAGGCCCACAAATATTTTTAGCGCATTTTTGAAAAAAATACGCTATTATATTCGTTATGGCTGGCTGGCCGGCTGTCCGAGTGAGATCTCAGCAACTACAATAGCTAGAGACTTCAAATTTTCACTAAAAGTTTGCTGATATAGTGTAGATGTGCAGGCTCTAGTCTATTTTGAGTTAAATTACTTGTGAGATCGATAATTGAAGAAAATAATTTCGATATGGTTTTCGGAGGTGCTATAATTTTACCGTTAGATAGCGCTACCAGTATAAAAACTTATTTATTTACTTTGTGATTTGTTTTATAAAATAAAGACGTACCCTCAATTGAAATTAAATAAAATTACTTATTTAACGCAGCCAAAATTACTCGTGAGATCGATAATTTTAAACTTCGCTAATAAATAATGACCTGCATTACCAAAAATGCGCTTTAATCATGCATATGCTGATTTACAACTTGTTTTATTATACCTGAACTACAATCTCCGTTTTAAACACTCAAATGCGTGCGAAAAAAAGGCCTTTAAAACACACGTGCTTTAAAGTTGCTAAGTAACGATACTTCAAGTATGACTTTTGAAACTGTCATCTGGATGAAATAAAAAATCCTTAGGTCGCTTTCTGTAAATGCAGAACATATCTTTGGCTTTTGTACCTATGCTTTGGTTGAAGCTTTCACAAACGCGCGTAATTTAGGGTATGCTTCCAAATCTGGTCCACTTTTTAATCGCAGCATTGCTTTAAAGTTTTGAATGAATGCACCAAAATATAGAAGATTTAAATACCTTTGACATTTCCTTCATATATTCCAGCATTATGGATGCATTTAAGACTGTATTCGTAAGTAACTTCCTATTCATCCATGGAAACAACTTTCATATTCTTTATAATAGGCTTTACTGGAGTTGGATTTTACACCTACCAACGTTTGTTTAGATTTTACAACAATCGATTTAATGGACGGTGTATTATCTTTTTCAACGGAAATCGTTTAATTCACAAAGACGATGATTTTTATAAGCAAACGTCAAGTGACATTTCCATGGCAATCGTGAAATTACGAACACCCAGCCCACTTAATTCATGTATTCGAAGAACGTCAATATGAAAAACATTGTATTTCCTATTTTTAAATTATACTGCAGTGGCTAATAAAAAATACTATACCCTCCAACGTGTATAATCTTTACTTCGATGATCGTTAAATGGCCAAAGTTGATCTTTTTTTTCAGTACAGTTGGGGAAATCGTGCAGACAACAACCTTTAAATATCAAGTTAAATTGACGATAAGATTTTAATTACTTTTCTATATTGTACCCCATAATGTTTTGCAGCTTTTGGCTGATCTCTCCAAAATGACTATGCAAAGAAATAGCAAGCCTATGGTATTTTTTAAAAGATATTCTGACGCTTAAAATGAGGTGTCATTCAAGACCTCGTCTCTACTCGTACTTACAGGGTGTTTAACTGGGTACTTATCTTGATGTGTTTTTTAAAATATTTTTAGATTTTCTATGGGGGTTGAAGTATTTATGGTGGTGAGTTTTTTAATTCATACTGCGTCAGTTTTCCTGATTTCTTTAACTAGTTTCGGCTGTTTGTCATTGTGTATGGGTTTCTATGTGGTCCTCAAGCTTAAAACATTTTTCTAAATGGGAAAAATAGCAATTGTGACCATTTTGTTTTCCAATCCGTCCGAGCATCAAACAAGTTCAGAATGGAGACTAGGAAAAAAGGAGCATTGAACAACAAAATATCTGCTAGGTGCCGCTTTTCTCTCCATCTGTATAGGTCTTCGGTTACTTTTTAGTGCATTTCCACAAAAATAAAAAAAAATGCGCTATTGTGGCCACTTTGTTCGTCCGTCCGTCCGTCCGCTCGTTTTGAGACGCTACTAGTTTTTTATCTTAAGAGCTATTGTTCTACTTTTTTCGCTATTTGGTTCGTTATGGTGTCGAGTCTTGTACCAAGGAAGGAATTTTTTCTGTACCGCTTACAAAAAAAGTTATTGTAAAAAAAACAAAAAACCGTTTTTTACATGTTCCATAATTTTACACTTTTGCCGTTTATTAACGATCCTAGAGATCGTTTATAATTTTGCATTGCTATCTGTCGCCTGCCGGTTGGTCTGTCCGTCTGTTCCTTTGTCTGTCTGTCCATCTATCTGTCCGTGTGAACGATAACTTTGTTTAGAAATGTTCGATCGCTTTTACATCTCCGTTAGTTATGAACTGAATTGCATGAAATTCAATATGGGCATAGCTTTAGCCATATAATACGTAATGCCAAAAGTTGAGTCGAATCGATTCAAAATTCACAGTGCCCTTTTCGCATCTCGACCATTTATAAACCGAATTGCAAACTTTTTTAATTATAAAAGTATTTAAATGAAATTTGATACATAGCCACTTGGAATAAAAGCAAATTTAACGCCAATTTCAAAATTTGGTTTTGCGCATGCGCAGTGCCAACTTTCTTATTTATGGAAGGATTTAAATGAAATTCGATACATAGCCACTTGGAACAAAGGAAAATCTAACGTTAGCTTCAAAATTTAGGTTTGCGCATGCGCAGTTCCAACTTTCTTATTTAGAAAAGCATTGAAATGAAACTCTTCTTAAAAACTGAAATTGAAGTAGCACGTCAAAAATGGATTGCACATGTGCAACGCTATCTTTCATATTTGTGGCCGGATTTTTACAATTTTAACAAAAGTTGCATCTTACAAATAGGAAATGAATGCAAGTGGAAATGGGTTTTATGTAAATCGTTTACGATTACTTTTTAACTTGTTTTTTACTGAAACGTGCTATTGATCTGAAATTGTGTTGAGTATCACTGTATCACTGTAATATTTGATTGAGGACCACTGTTGGTTTAGTTTAACGGGCTCCGATTGGTGCATCATTTTTACGCACTTCGTTTTCTGTTTCATGAAACTTCACATAAAAAATGGTAACGTTTTACAGTTGTCATATTCATTTTTTAAAAATTAAATGGCGGTTCAATTGTAAAATTTGTTAAATATTATTTCTGGCGATTAACCAAATTTAGTGTGATATCGAATTGGTTTGGATCGGGATATACTTTTCTCTCGTGTGACGGCTATAAATTGAATTCCTAGGATGGATGCATACATAAGTATCGACATTGTGGTTTTTTAGGATTTTGGCATTTATTTA